AGCACGATCCCTGCCCTGGCTCTCTAACACTGACTCTGGCATAAATCATGGCTGGCATTTGCATGTTGCCCATGCCCCCATGCCCCATTCTACATGCTGCATGCAGCACACACAGCTAATCTGTGTCCTGGCCAAGTGGGTAGTGGGAAGTGCATCCTTTGTATGCTTTTTGTTTACTTTTCATGTACTTGCTCAATTAAAAAATTGCTCCAATCGAGGAGCGTGGAGCGGGTAACGGGGGAGGGGCTGGCTTTCCTTTCTGAATTTGCCTTGTGACAATTAATACGTTTCGGCCTGCTCCGGGTTTCTAATTGCATTTTCACACGAAATGCCGCAATTTTTTCCCCCCTCCCCAGTCCGAGTCCTGATTTTCACACCTAGAAATATGTAAATTTTACTTTCAATGCAGGAAAAAGGAAAACACTGTTTATATCTCTGTAGATAATATTAATGGCAGCTGCATTTGTCCGACTGTCTACCCGATATTCGGATCGAGATTTACGTTAAATTCCAGAAGAAAAAAATAACCTCAAGGAATTCCTTTCAGAGAAAAGCCTTTTGTCTTGGGCCTTAGCTGAACAGCAACTGTTTCTTTATTTGGCCAAGAACGGTAGACCTCTTCGGTGTTCGGGTTGTAGCCAAATTCGAAGTGAAAGCCGAAGTTAAATCTCTCCTCTCAAAGAGCAACGCAGGCGCCAACACACCATAAAGAGAAAACTCTACAAAATGGGCAAGAGATTAGAGGAGAGAATTATATGCGGTGTAGCGGTGTAGCGGTGTAATTTGGCACCATATGCTGGCACCGGTGGAGGAGGTTTTATTACTATAAGCATGAGGATCTATTAAAAAATCATTAGGTTGATGCTTTTGGGAATAGGTCAAGAAAGCCTTGTACTTAAAATGTAAACAATTCTTGAAAACTATTTCAAAAATACTTGCAGCTAGAATTTAATACATAGATGGAAGAGGATCTGTGAGCTAACATATTTTTAGCTACTTACCGGCATTCTTCTGAATGGAAAGAACCACACTACCTGCAAAAAAAGAAAATGTTCAAAAATATTAAAAATCAGTCATCAATCCGTTTATATCAAAGATGTTTCCTTTCTCTGTTTATCTATTCACCAATTTTATAGTTTTTGTGAAAATATTTCAGAGCAATATCAATCAATCCTTATTTTGTTCATCCATCAATTCGGAATATCATTTTAATTAATGGTCATAAAATATTCTCTATATTTATATGCCATTTTTATGCCCTTTTTCTTTACAATTAATTTCTCTTTTTCAGCAATTAAAATTCAATTAAGCCGTATCAATCCTTTAGCAATATCAATCAAGAGACTGACTTGCCACTTTTCTTTCAATTTGTTTCATTAAATGTTTACCTTTTGCCGAAGAAAATATTCTCTCGTATTTTTCCATTACAATTGATTCACTCAAATTCATTTTTCAATAAATATTTTTCATTTTCCAATATCTTCCTTCCATCAATTTAGAAAATATTCTACCCATACTCGATTAATTTATGAATTTTAATAAAAAATAAAATAGACCACTTTTAGGTCTTGCATTTCTCCATTTGAGAATTTTTTTACCCCTCTCTCTCACCCATTCTCTCTGCTATTGCTGGTTTTTTCTCTCCCACATTTATGGCTATATTCCCTCTATCTCAATTTGTATTCCATTCCCAACCATGTACAAATATTTTCATTAGAAAAAATGAATCTCAAAATGGTACGAAAAAAATATATATTTTAATTTTACTGATGATTTTAGATTGTAGCCTACACAACAAAAAATATGAACACACACACACACACATAAAAAGAGATAGAAAAAGGTACACAAATTCTTATCAAGGAGCATTGCAAAAAATGTGTGCAATTAAAAACTTCCCAGAACACAATACAAAAGAGAATCAAAAACTAGAGAGACTTTCTTTCGAAAACAGCAGTAGGGGAAAAATGCAGATTCAGGCTAGAGCAAAACTGTAAACGAAAACTAAAAGAAGGTCCTGGATGCTTGGGTATCATTGGATTTTAATTAACAGTATAGAAAAACTACAAAAACAGACAGGGTAGTGGTTGGATAGTAGCAAACAAAGCACAATGGCAAAGGTCCTTGGGCCTTGGGGCGCGCAAGAGGATGCACATGCATATTATGTGGACTCCTGCTTTTGGGTTATCCTGTTCTTTTCTGTTCCGTTTGTTCGTTTGTTTGCTCTGTGACTTTGAGTCCTTGCAACAGTTCTGGGGGCCAAGATTGGTTGCTACTTGATTGCATTTTTGTGGAATTTCTTTTTTTTTTTTGGGTTTTAATAGTTCTTTTTTTATACAGGGTAAGCGAAAAGGACATGTGGGTATGTTGTGCTGGTGGAAATTAGTCCACGTTTCTATCGGTAGGAGTAGATGATTGTGGGAACAGATATAATTTTTCCAATCAACACAAAAATCTTGCCAACTATTTTAATCTTTTTTCCTCACATTGGAAAGGATAGTTCGTAAAGAGTTGCTTAGATATCTAAAAGTTTGGGTATCTTTAGAGTCAAACTATCCCCCAAAGCGTTTTCCACTTGATTTTTTCCCCCATCTTAAACAAAGTAAATCTGTGGACGAGCTCGAGAGTCTCGTCATGAATCAAGTCCCACGCCTGCATAAACCCATCCATGGCATTGAGAGTCCTGCCTCGTGGCTGGCGACACACGCACCGGGTCAATTTCATGCAACACAAACAAAGCGGGGCACTCGAAGAGCTATGGGGTAGCCGCCCACAGTTCCGAGAAGCTTTTCCGTCTTGCATGTAGGACACGTTTGGGGCATGCCGCCCCAAAGCCCGCGTCCCCTTTGAGAGGCAGCCAGGCGGTCTCGGTCGGGCAGGTGCTCAGCTGTAACTAAACGTCCGTTTTAACATTGCCGCCTGATGGTTGCCCTCAGTCTCTTCCGTCCTCAGTTCTCAACCCCATGGGCCATGGCACTGCGTGTGTGTGCGGCAAGTGGCATGTGGCACATGTCAGGGGCTGGTCACGTCTGCTGGGGCATAATTGATAGTTCAATCTGTTGCAGATCAAACGCTTGACAGCAGCCAACAGATCAAACTGAAAAATTGTACCACAAAAGAAGGAGAAACTGTGCAGAAATTTGATTGCGGGTATATGTATCTCAAAGATACTGCATCTAGAGTTAGCTTCACGTAAATTGGGGCATACTTAAGAGTAGAAAAGCAACAAATTTTGATTGACTACATAAAGCTATCAATGAATACACTGATTGAATGGTTTTTGGGGTGAATACTGAATGAATGGAGCTAAAATAAAATATATTTAAGGAATATTAAACAACATTTCAAATGGATAATTTTCTTTAACGTTCCCATCCACAAACGTATTACAATTTCTACTCAAAGTCAACTAATTTTTGATATATTTTTTGCCTCTTTTTTCCCGCTGGGATAATTTCATATTTATTTTAAAAGGCTTTTGGCCTTTCAGCCAGCCAGCAGCACTTTACTTACTCATGGTTCGTGGGCGTTTTGTCAACCCCAAAGAGGTTGTGGGGGGTTGGTGGAAAAACTGTGAGAGTTTTGCTCGATGGCATAAAAACATCTCTCAGCCAAATAGATTTTTATGCTTTTAAGTAATTTGCTGCACAAATTGAAAGACCTTCAAGGAGCAGCAAACAGCAGCAGCTGCAGTCTTTGGGAAAAACTCTTGGCTCGAACTTTGGACATGGTATTTTTTATGCCAATTTTTCGTGTGCTGCTCATGTTTTGTCGCTTAATTTTAATGGCTTGTTGCGCATTAAACTTCTAGCTTCATTTATGTTTATTGGCGCACTTTTATTTGTGTAATTTACGCCGTCGAGTGCCGATCATAAATTGTGACACGAACTGAACGAACAGAGAGCACATAGCGACAGAGAGAATGTTCCGTTCTATCGTGCAAAGGTCACGTTGTCTCATTAAAGTCCCGCCGACAGCGACTCCGAACAAGAACAATAAGTGTAATAACAAGGGCAATAACTCCCACCGGGACCCACACCACAGCAGCAGCACCCACACACACAAGCACACATGTCAGCGGGAAGGAGGCAGTGGGGCGTACAAGGACAGCAAGTGATTTACCTTTGAACTGAAAGACTATAAAATGAACAATTTTTAAGGCATTTGTTGAACATAAAATATAAATTGGTACCTTAAAACATATAATATATAAGCTAAATTAACAAAAGTCAAGTTTTTGAATACACAATACTTTAAAGTTAAGATAATACGAGAAGTTTAACCTAAAGATATGAGAGAATTTTCTGTGCTGGTTAGTTTTTGACTGACAAGTAAATAACAATCTAAAGATTTGATTTTAATATATTAAAAAAAAAAAGTTCACCGAATTATCACCAATTAATTTTATTAGATAATAAGCAAAGAACTTTAATTATTATTTACCCTTAAAATATTTTAAACTTTAAAGATTAGGCTTACAAACAGAAAATATTTATACCCTAAGATAAGACATGAATACGGAACTTTTCGTCTATTTCGTTTTTGGAATTTGTTGTCTAGTTTGGGAATTTTGTTTATTTATTTTTTTTATATTACATTTTTTGTGGTCTATTTTCTCAATGGGATTTTGCAGAAAATATACCCCAAAACATATTCGCAACTTCGTAAGTCATTTATGGCACTTCCTGCTCTTTAATTATTAAACTTCCAGCTCATAGATAACACACTCAAAGTTCTTGCATACTTGCTCTATAAAATCACCGCCCAAGGCAATTCATCAACGTCCTAAAACACTTCAGGTTAATGCGCGTGTATTCTCAGATATCTATCAATATTAAATCATCTTTAATTTGAAAACATCTTCAAGCAAATAGCCAAAAAAAAAAATATCACTTCCAATGAAATTCATAGAATTTCTAATTAAATCTAATCAAGCTGTCATTAATATGCTATCAATATCATATCAGTGGAAGACCTCAAACTATAGGCAAGCACTCCAATGAAGGAAGAGTTCAGTGTGGAATTAAACGTTGAAGAATAAACTAATGGAAATGAACAAATTTAGAGCCAATAAATTCATATAAAGCGAATATAATGCAAGGTAAAATTGTCTTAAATTCTAGAAATATCTTTAATTATTCGTATTTCTTTCGTATATGTAGTTAATATAGTCAACCTCTTGACATGGCTGCTGCTGATGGTAGCACTCGTCTGGAGCTGGCAATTCAATGGAGGTGTGGCCATGCCACAGGTGGAACCGCGCCATCAAACCTGCGACAATGAGCGGCGATACGAGAACCAGGTCATGTGCGAGGGCAAAGACTTTGGCGCCCTGGTGCCGTATCCGGATAATTGCAGCCTTTTTCTCGTCTGCGATTGTCTGTATCCCACGGTGAAGCTGTGTCCAGCAGAGCTCTGGTGGGATAATTCCTCGCAGATATGCAATTATCCGCAGGCGGTGGATTGTGTTTACTACTCCATTGAAACGCCCGTACCCACGGATGGAACAACGCGAATTACACCGGGTATTACCACCGAATCAACGACTTTAAGTACTCCAAAAGCGTCCGAACAACCAACACCGTTGAGCACTCCAAAGGTCACCGAAGAACCAACCACTTTTAGTACTCCAAAAGTGACGGACATTCCCTGTATAACTTCCAGCTGGGACCCGCCACAGTCGCCGCCTGGCATTCCCGATGATTTCTGTAGGCAATATCCGGATGGTTCGGTGCATCGTTATCCGTACGATTGCCAGGCGTATATCAACTGCACCCATGGCTGGCCAGTGCTCAACTATTGTGTCGAGGATAAGGTCTTCAATGAGTGGCTGCTCATCTGCGATACCCCCGACACAACCGAATGCGAGGAGCTGCCATTGCCCACCCCCATCCCAACCGAAACGGTGCCTACTTCCACCACTACAGAGATGGTTTCCACTTCCACGACAGAAGCGGACGATGTGGAGTGCGGACCCACTCCAGAGTTTGTCGAGGAGGATTACTGCCAGCCGTTGGGCAATGGTTTCTACGATTATCCCTACAACTGTAGTGCGTACCTCTCGTGCCGCAATGGCTGCACGGACTTGGACTACTGCATAGCGGACAAGTTGTTCAATCCCTGGCTGCACATCTGCGATACGCCCGATTCAGTGCACTGCGATCCAGAGCCATATCCCACAGTTCCACCATCTACCACGACTGCTCCGAGTACCACAACTTCTGTGGATATTTCCACGACTGATGGCACAACTGCCACCACAGAGGCAGCCACTAGCACCACACCGGGACTGCCGTCCGATGTGGATCCCAATGATTGTAGGGGTCTACCCGATGGCAGTCGATTGCCATATGCCGGCAACTGTTCGCAGTTTCTGCTCTGCAAGGACAATCGAGTGGAGATGGGTCACTGTCCTCCTACGACGCTCTTCAATCCGGATTTCCTCATCTGCGATGAGGCTGATGATGTCTTGTGCTATGGCGATCGCACCACCACACCGATACCCACGACGACAACTACTGAGGCGACCACACCCACCACCACGGCCACCACAACGACAACGAGGGCCACAACTCTGGGACCCGCGGAGCTCTGTGAGGGTAAGGATGTGGGAGACTCCTTCCCGTACCCCGAGGATTGCTCACAATACTATTTGTGTCTGGGAGGTGGACAATGGGTCCTGGCGCCCTGCATCTATGGCAGTTACTTTGATCCCGAGACATTGAATTGTGGTCCCAATGTCTCCCCGACGGCCTGTCAAGTAGGAGAAGCAACCACAGCAGCACCCACAACCACCGAGAAGGTAACCACACCCACACCCACACCCTCAACGGAGCCACCTTCGACCACTGTGGCAACAACCACAACTCCAGCGCCATCGGGTGGCATTTGCGGTGGCCGGGATGAGGGTGAAAATATCGCCTATCCCAAGGATTGCAACAAGTACATCGTCTGTGTCTCGCCCATACCCATTGCCTTCTACTGCCCCGCGGGATCGTACTTCAGTTCCAAGGACCAGAACTGCGCCAGCTGGGAGGAGAGCGATTGCGATCAGGATGCCAGCACCACAACGCCGTCCCCAGGCATAACCCAAGCACCGTTGGAGCCAACGATATGCACAAACAGCAGTCGCGACACCTTCCCCTATCCGGACAACTGTCAGTGGTTCATCCGCTGTGTGGATGACTATATCTACATGATGGACGTCTGCAACTGCGGGGAGTACTACGATCCCATGAGCGGAAAATGCGGTCCAGATGTACCATCGGATGCCTGTCGCTGGGACTACGCATCCACCACGTCAACCACCAGCGAACCGACAACCAGCACAGCGGTGACCAGGCCGCCACCCCAGAAGAATCCCTGCGACCATGTGGTGGATGGTGCGTTGGTGCCGTATCCCACCGATTGCTCCAAGTACATCAAATGCGATCGCCCCATACCTGTGGCCTTCGACTGTGACAAGGGGGATGAGTTCAGTGTGGAGCTGGGGGAGTGTGTGGACGCATCTCTGGCCGGTTGTTCGATCACAACCACTGCCAATCCTTCGGGATCGACAACGCCATCGACACCATCGACAAAGACAACAGAAGGGGATACTTCAACAGATTCATCCACAGCATCATCTACGGAATCGTCAACTGAATCATCAACAGATTCTTCCACAGATTCTTCTACAGATTCATCAACCGTTTCAATAACCACTCAACAGCCAGATTCATCTTCCACAGAGCCTGGAACAACCACCACAGATTCCCAAACAACACCAAAGCCATCTGGTGGAGTTTGCGAGGGCAAAACGGATGACTCTCGGGTGCCGTATCCCAACAACTGCACCAAATTTATCGTATGTCAATACCCGATACCTGTGGGCTATGATTGTGCCGACGGTTTGGAGTTTAGTCCCACGGAATTGCAGTGTATGGATCCTGATTTGGCAAACTGTAGTCCGAAGGCGACAACTCCTGCCATACCAACATCTACGACGACGGAATCTTCAACAACGAAGTCTACAACAACAGAAGAACCTTCAACAACAGGATCTTCGACAACTCAGGCGTCTTCAACACCTGAGCCTTCAACAACGGAGTCTACGACTAAGGAGCCTGCAACAACGGAGTTTACGACCAAGGAGCCTTCAACAACGGAGTCTACGACTAAGGAGCCTTCAACATCGGAGTCTACAACAACTGAACCTTCAACAACAGAGTCTACGACTAGGGAACCTTCAACGACAGATTTAACGACTAAGGAGCCTTCAACAACAGAGTCTACGACTAAGGAACCTCCAACGACAGAGTCTACGACTAAGGAGCCTTCAACAACGGAGTCTACAACAACTGAACCTTCAACAACAGAGTCTACGACTAGGGAACCTTCAACGACAGATTCAACGACTAAGGAGCCTTCAACAACGGAGTCCACGACTAAGGAACCTTCAACAACGGAGTCTACAACAACTGAACCGACTACAACAGAGTCCACTACCCCAATACCATCGTCTACCGAGTCTACTACACAGGAACCCTCATCCACCACCAAGGAGCCAACCACTTTGGATCCCTACACCCCCAACATTTGCTGTGGCTATCCTCTGGGAACTCTTCTGCCATATCCGAATGACTGCATGCGCTATGTGGTGTGTGATTATCCCATTCCTTATGCAGTCGATTGCGATGCGGGCACCTTCTTCAATGAAAACTTGCTTCAATGTACATCGATGCCCAATGAAAGTTGTCTCTACAAGAGAAGATAAATAATATTAGTAATTTAAATAAAGAATAACCATGCATTCATTTCTTACCTTTTTTCCGTGAAAAATCAATTGTCTAAGTGCACAAATGCTCAACCACTTAAGATACACTTTTAGGGCTTTGCATTCAGACTATTTTTTTGTAATGTTACTGCTATCAATTACACGTAAACCCTTTCCGTAATTTGTCACAAAAAAAAAAGATAAGAGAGAGAAAGAGTGGAAGCCGAAACGTAGATAATTTACCACTTAACAGGCAATTCCCGTGACAGGGAACAAGCCGATTGGCATTGTGTAAGTGGAAGCTAGCTCCTGGAAGACTCACAAATGCACACAGGATAGGGCATATTTTTAGCAACAGGCTAAAAGCAATTTCTTCCCCACGACAATTCTACATACGGATAATATTCTTTCGCTTACAAGTTTCAGCCATTTATCGTAGTTTGATACTCACTCTCGGCCCCATTTCTCGGAGGCACAAAGAGAACTCCTCCTTCGTCTAATCAGATTTGGGGTTGGCCACATGAAAACACAATTGCCAGGGAATTATCTGAGGGGAATACTCGTGCAACTTGTAGGAGGGTGGTATGGGGATAACAGGGAAAAGGAGAAGGAAAAGGAAGAAAAAAGGAAGCCAAATCGAGGACAACGAATGCGAGGCAAGTTATGTATGGGAGAAGGCAATGACAGTAACGACACAAAATGAACACAATTCGAGCAAATTGTTTGGCAATAATGTTAACTTAATGCGTTCCATTTGTCGCACTTCAATCGATAGACAACAAGGAGCGCTTTTTGGCACGCTCCGCTCTCAAGTGATTTGTAACGAAACCCAACAAAGATTTCTTCTTGTTGAGTTTTTTTTGTTTTTTTTTGGGAGGGGATAATCGGTGAGTTTACTAAACTCAGCAACAAGTCACATGAACCTGAAAACCATTTAATTGAAGATAAGCATACTTACTGACTTATAGAATTTAAATGGGATTTCCAGTGAGCGCCATAAATTATCTGTTGATTGGCCATAAAAAACAATTTCCCTAGGACTTTGCACAGTTGAATCGCAGCCAAGTGTGTAAGCTGCCAAAACAGTAGAGTGCCAGAAGCTCCAAAAAACTAAACTCATAAATGTACCACTTGACGTTTGCTGTGTAATGCTGTGCCAAGATTTCAATCAAGACTTTGAAAGTGCATAAACAACACTTGAAACTAATTATAGGTAAGACATTTGCTGCACTAATTGCCTTTGTTTCCAGGACTTAAGTCAACTAAATGGATGGCTGGGATGGCAAGTAAACTTTGGGCTCAACTTTTGACACTCAATGATATGCAAGGATAACCAGCACAGCAGTTCACATCCCAGATAACACGATAAATTGCAATGGAAATATTTTCTAAAAGCACTCGACACATGTGTGTGGGTGTTATGTATTTTCTCCGCCAACCATTAAGAGTTTTGGGTTTTAGTTTATGAAAGTTTTGTGCTGCCGCATATTAATGTGCAATACCCATCATCCATTTATGTAAAATGTATTTTATAGTTCCCGCGAGAATGCCGCCATGTTGCATGCCCCAGACAGAAAGTTTTTGGCCTTTTTCTCTACTCTTTGCAGTCTGCTGTGTATTGTGTGTATATTGCATATTAAATGGCATTTTTGAATATACTACTACACATATGTATAGCAAAAATTCATCGTGAAAATTGCAATACTTTTGCAATATTTACATTTCAAGTGAAAATTGTATAAAAAGCTTATGCAAAACCGGAAAAGAGGGGTTTATGAAAATTTATGAAAACATAATCAAATGTTATGGCCAGTTAGGGGAAACTCCACTCAACCGAACCGAGCCGGACTACTCGTAATGCATTTTACTCTACTGTTTCTCTGTACTTTGGAGTTTCATCTGCTGCAGGGGTTGGTGGGGCCTTTAAATTCAGTTAGTTCGGAATTCAGCTAGCAGTTTGAGGTTCAGTGACCTGCAATCTATGTAGTTTGCCTTGATTTGAATAACATTTTGTGTACATTCGTTAAGCAAAGCACTTTGTGTTTTGAAAGTAAAGTAAAAACGGTTTAGACTTCATATTTCCAAATATGGTATGAAAACTAAAAAATCCTGTGCCTAAAATACTTGCCTTAGAGATCTGTAATTTTCTCGTTCAATCTGAAATTTTCCCCATTTTAGTTACATTTTCCTAAAGTCTTAAGTTTCGTATGCTAACTTTTTTTCAGCTAAAACTCTTCTCATTTCCGAATAAAATCATAAAAAACTTGACCAACTTCCTTGAGCAATTTTCTTTGAATTCCGGCTAATTTTCTTTCACCTGTTAGCAGTCCTCTTCTCATATCCTCATACCCTTACTACCATCCTGTGACAAATCCATCCACTTATGCCAGAACCCAAGCGAAAGACCCAAAACCCTCCTCCTCTGTGTGATAACAACTTGTAAGCGTTGTCATAACACGATCCGGTCATATAAAAACAAAATTCTCACAAATTTAACGCCACCGACGCAGACGTTTAGGTTTTTATGGCCCAGCCACGATTCGTTCTTTATATGACTCCCCGTTCCTGGTGGCCCACCCAACCCAACCATCCGCAACATTCATATTCATAAAAGGCAGCGACTCATCATTATTTGTCAGGGATCCATGTAAACAAGTCAACGGAGAAAAAAAATAACACAGATCCAAACTCACAAAAATCATGAGTCACGCATAAAATTTTATGAACTGAAGGGAGAGGCTGAAAAGGGGGCGTGTGTGTCAAGCAAGAGTGGCAAGGGTGCTGGCGGGGGAGTCTGTAAGGGATGGAGATGGAGATGAAGAGCAAATTGAAGGCGACACTGCGTATACGCCGCATGTGGTAAGGGGTTTTGTGGCTTAATTAAAAATCAGCGTGTGGCACATTTGTCTGCTTATACAGAGCGTTTCATTAGAGTCAAGTTGCTAAAAGATTTAATTTTGTTCCGAATCAATAATTTTGTTATTTAATCAACTTAAATGTCGACAGGAAGGAGGCGTCCATTTTAATATAGGAAATAATCGACAGTTTCATCGAAGGGAGTAACAAAATTTAGACATTGTATAATTTTCATTTCCTTTCTCCCCCTGGTCTTGAATTCACGTAACGCACTGTCCACTGGCAGTGACGACAATTTTAATTAAATGCGAAATACCAAATTCGTAATGCCTGCAGGTGGATTCTGTTGGTTTAACCAATCTCTGAACTTTTTAACCTCTTCTTTTGCTTTATTTCTTGCTTTCTGACTTTTTGTTTCTGTTTTTTATTTGTTTGCATACAAAACATTCATTTTTCTTTGGCCAAAAGCGGAACAGAAAACAGAAAGAGGCTCCATCACGCTGGCATGCAGGAGTCAAGGAAAGTGAGTGGAGGAGTCTCGCGAAAGCGAGAGTGAGTGGTAAGTTTAATTAAATTGATTTCGCTTTGCGCACCTCTTTCTCTCGCTCTCTTCTGGTGCTATTTTAATTAAAGCTCTTTTTTTTATAGGTTTCCAAAAATGAGAAAAAGATTAAAAGCAAACTGTAAGCCAGAATTGCCTCTGGGGGGTTTTCTTAGTTTTTCTTTAAGAATTTCCACTGCTCAAAGTTTTTGAGAATTGTAAATTTTTGTTATTACAAGTCAGGGAGCTACTTCTCGTTCTGTTCCCTCTCACAAAATTGGCCTTTTCCTCTCGTTTTCCTTCTGTAACGAACTTTTATTTTTTGAAGTCAAAGTTTTTTCTATCGCTTGTGATGTGTGTGTATGTTCCATTTCTACGCCGAGTCGTGTGTTTATTTAATATCTATAAAACAAATTAAACATTCATATTCCGTTTATTTACTTAGGCAAATTGAGTTTTCGCAGTTGACATGCTGAATACGCAACAACAAAAAGCAAAAGAAAATACTACGGTCGAGTGGACCGACACGAGGCTACCTCGTATTTATTGGAGAACTAGATACATTTATTTGTATATGTGTAAAATATAAATTCTTTTTGTACAAAAAGAGATGGAAAAATTGAGAGCTAGAAACTGGATAATGATTCTAATGATTTTAAGTATAATTTATAATATTCTTCCAGACACTCTATGTGATTTCTTTCTTCTTCCTGTTTCAAAATGCCCAACGATTACCTGGAAAAATATATAGAAGTTAGCTAGAGGAAAACGCGACTCATGGTTGGATGGATGGGAAGAAGAGAAGCTGGGGCCAGAAGAGAACCAACAACAACAAAAAAAAAGAGTCAAAAGTTGGCTGTGTCATCCACATCGGGTTCTGAGAGGTCTGAGAGTCGTTGCTGTAAACAGGAAACGAGTGTCTGTTGCATGCAGGCAAGAGTGACAAATGTCATGAAATATTCAAATTGGCAAAAGTGTCCGCCTGTCGGCTGTCGAAGCCAGTTTCTCCAACACATTTTCGGGGGCCCCCATTTTAGATTGCAACTTTAATTGAGGTAAGGGGAAAATGTACCATTTATCACAGACATAAAACCTTAACAGCTCATAATTGGCAATTGAGTGCAATATGGAATATCATAAATACATAGAGGTACAAACAATTCTCATGGGTGGCGGAGGGCACACAGCAAATGAACATAAATCTGAAACCTCTAAGCCAAGAAAAAAAAACACATTGGTAAGTTAAGGAGGTTACAACGTACCGCAAAACACACACACACACACAACACTCGTGGAAAATGTGTGTTTCGTTTTCATTGTGTAAATATTTAAGCAAACAATAAAATGGAAACAGGAAGCGAAACAGGATTCATGAGGCATGATGCCATGGGGCTGGGTGGAAGGCCCGGCCCACTCAGTCGTAGCAGGTGTCAAATGTTGCGGCCAAAAAAGAAAAGCAAAGTCAGTTTTTACCCCCATGTAGTGCTCTCTTCACCATCTACCCCTCTACCACTCAGCCATTTTCGAAAATTTATGACAAAACTGTACCAGACACACTCACACTCTTGCACGAACACACATACTCACTGACAGGAAGCCATACAAACGTTTGATTTTCCCCATATGTT